AAAGACGCGAATTGAAATTTACATGGCAAGATTTCATTTCTCTCCTAGCGCATCTTTGGTGGAAATGGTCTGGATTGATGACGATGGGCAAGGCCAGAATTGATATATTTGTTGATGTAATATTGAATCGTTTAGCTGCACATAGAATATTATAATCTGCAACGGCAATATAATAATAATATTATTATTGGCAATTTTTGGTGGAAATAGGCCGGCGAGTTTCCATTCTCGTCTCGCCTCGCCGTTGGAAATCCGCCTTAAAAAGAATTTAAATTAAACTTCAAAATTATACTCAAAAATTATTGACATACATTTTTAAAACAGCTCGGCAATGCCCTGACGTATTTGCAGTTCTTGGATAAAAAACATTCAACGAAATGACATGACGTGATACGAAATGGCATGGAGTCTTGTTTTTATGTCAATGTCAAAATATCACAGTGCTTAATAGTGTACGTACACCCGTACAGGCGTACACCCTACCCAAGTTGAGTGGATATGGCTGAGTTATTGATCGACAAGTGCTAAATAATTGGTTCACATATATAGAATTATATACTTCGTATACCTATGTTCCTGTTACCCATCTTGGTTGTTTACGCGTGTGCAGCTTAATTATTCTCTTATGTGTTATGGTGAATCTGTGTTAAACTATTGAAGATGTTGAATCAAACACAAACGGAGGCGTTGCTCTCAGCAAACTACGTGGAAAACTATTTGGATTGTGTTGAAAACTTACCAAACGATCTACAACGACATTTGTCGCGTTTGCGGGAACTTGATGTTAATTACAGAGAATGCGTTAGGGATGCTCAAACCCAGATGGTGTTGTGCGCTGGTAATAACACCGAAGAACGCAAGCGTGCAAGAGCTGCTGTACGCCTGCAAGCTTCGCTCGTGCAAGCTCAAGAAATCGGTGATGAGAAACTTCAAATTGTTCAAATCATCCAAGACTTTATTGACAACAAACAAAGGTCTTTGGATGCTGATCATAAAAAGCTTATATCTTGCCTTGAAGTAAACACAAACGGTAATGCAAAAAAAGAGCCCACACCACCATCAGACACTGTCAATGAGAAAGATTCGGGTTCACCTCAGACACCGCAGCAGCATGTACCTCCGCCGCCACCCCCAGAGAGAGCTGTCGAAAAAGAAAAAGATAAAGGTGACAAAGACAAATCAGGTGGTGAGCGATGGTCGAAGCGAGCGCGGCGGTCGCGTACCAACGTCGCCGGTACCAACACCGATGGCGCTGACAGCAGTGAGCGTGACAGTGAACGCCCTGTGCAGAATTGTACTCTCAAAAAAGGCAAGAAGAAGAAGCGCAAAGCACGTCAAGTGGCACAGAGGTCAGAGACGCCGCCCGAGGAGGCAGACGCCATTGACCCAGACGAGCCACGCTATTGCCTTTGTGACCAGATCTCATTCGGTGAGATGATCCTTTGTGACAATGATCTCTGCCCAATAGAGTGGTTCCACTTCTCCTGCGTATCTCTCACCACTAAACCCAAAGGAAAATGGTTCTGCCCCAAATGTCGTGGGGACAGACCTAATGTAATGAAACCAAAAGGCCAATTCCTTAAAGAACTTGAGCGGTACAATAGGGAGAAGGAAGAAAAAGCCTAGAAATAGTGACAGTGATGTATTCATTATCATGGAGGCGAAAGACCTTTGAATGGGAACTAAACCTATTTAGTTAACAGCCCTTTAGTGTAACAATGGCCATTGAGTTATATTTAAATATTTCAAATGGAGGAACACTATGCTCCTGATTCATTAAAATTCTCTTTTTAAATGTTAAGCACTTACTATGTACGTACTCGTGTACTACTTATCCTTTATTCTACATTGTATATCTACATCAGTATCACTTGTATAATTTCCCAGTCTAATATAAAGGAAAGGTGACATAGCTTTTAGCATTTTTATTTCCTTATCCAATATTTATTTTATCATAATTTACACATACACAAACAGAAAACAGAGTAATCTACTAAGACCTGAATTTAACACTTCTTTTTCCTTTAAAAGAAATTAAACCTGATTAATTTTTTATCTCATTATTACGAAATTGGAGAACTCTTGTAATGTAATAAATACTTTTGAAAACATTATTCCCAAGGGGGTGGAGACCTGTTGTCCTGAAGTATGGGCCTTGAGCCTAGTTTCATCATGGCATCCTTGGCATAATAGGGAGACCCCTATTATGTTTAATAAGTTAAATTGTGGCAAGAAATAAATCAATGTATTATTATTATCTATCTATTCTAGACTGGAGCATCCCCCAAGGCCGAAAATGTAAAATGTTTTTAAAAGGAATAGGCGATATTCTCTGGCCATGGCACTGTTGTTCAAGAGCCGGCGAACAAATCATGCCGTATTATTATTGTTATTAATTTGTCACAAGATGTTGAAGTCGCATTCATGTTGTAGCAAAAAAAACAAGATATTTTAACTCAAATTTGTATTTTATTTTTTTTCTTATAATAACAATATTAAATAAGCTTAATAATTAAAGTATATAATAGATTAATTAGGCGTGGCACTTAACTACAGATTATAAAAAAATTACATTCCTTATGATTTTGAATAACTTGGCCAATAAATGCCTTGTAGCTCAATGCCTTCATCACAAACTTATAAACTGTTAAATATTGTATCTACCATTAGGTTTAGTCTAAGAAGTTTATATATGCGGACTACATCCATTAACACTACACTCTTGCCTCCTACTAAATTGTCTTTTGTGAGCACAATTATTTTAGTGTATTACAGAAAAAGCAACCACAAAATACACATGGACGCGATGACTGTATATTTTGGCATCTCCGTTTGGCTCTTTCACCAAAATAATGATATGATTGATATAACTCCCATTATTTTTAAAATATTAAAATTTACGATTCCGTTCCAACTGTTTTGTACAAAAGTAAACATTTATTAATGTTAAAATAAACAAAAAATATCACATTTCGGCCTATACACCTAGGATACGTGTTTTATGTACTCTTAATAACGTACTTATTCTAAATTTTCTCATGAAAAAATAAAACCATAGATAATTTAATTTAAGAGTACTAAATAGAAAGAGGGGTAATCCTACTGAGCCGAAATCAATATTATAGATAATTAGTTTAAATTTTTTCTTTACATCAGAATAATGTTAGGTATGATCGAGTAACGACTAGAATCCTAATAATATAATGAGCATTACGACACTGTTACAACTGATGTTAAAAACAAGCAAAAATATTTATAAGACAAACATCTCATTCGCGTCGAAATGATGTTCTCAATCAAACATACATTCATTCGGCGCCAATTATTGCTACATACTGATTATTACTGTATAGACAATTTAAACATTATTGTAGGTACATACTTAGTTATTTAAAGGAAAAAAATTGTCTTTCATTTTCGATATTTACAAAATATGAAATCGATTGAATGTTACAATGACGTGTGTACATAAAATGGAAACTACTTGGATAAATGCGGAAATGGTTAATTAACTTGCTGCTCTATATACCAAACGCAAGCCTATCTCAGACGACCAATCCTCATGCATCTTTATTTATATACACTTTTTGTGTAAGTATTCCACTAGTTTCTTGTTAGCAATCATTGACGCAAAGATCGAAACTTAAAGAAAAATTCCTTCGTTCTGATTGGACTGGAACCAGCCAGTCAGAAAAAAGCTATTAATTTTCCTGAACAACATTTCAAATTAAACGTTAAATTAAATGGTCGTCCTTTTATTTAAGATGATATATTATTTAGAAGAAAACAATCCTTATGATTGAGGGTTTGGATCAGTATAGTAAATTACAGGTGCTTTTTTTTCACAATTGTTATTAAAATCAAAATTAAATCTGTTTTCAGTAAAATTTTCTATCTACGGTATTTAAGGTATTTTCCCTCCGTGTGGCATAGCCGTGAGACGCCTTGTTTATTTTATTGTTTACAAAAGTGTCGTTTTTATTTAGGCGTGTTAATTTCTCGTATGTCTTTTATCATTACGGGTATAAAATGTAGATGTTGGGAATTGTTTGAGGAGTAACTGTTAAAGTATCATCGTCTGTAATAGGCTTAATAGTTCGGTTTTATGTGTTTTAAAGTTTCCAAATTAGGAAGTTTAAATAGAGGTGAGCGCGTGGTAGGGGAAGACAAATGTGATCAGTTTGAGCAGGCACGTATTACAATGTAAGAAGCGTGATTTTAAAGTGATAAAATTTTACTAGTTTTTATGGATACCATCAGCGTTCAACTAATCCAGCCAGTAAGGTTTTTACGGTCATTCTGAGACTAATGTTCACTACCTAATTTCTGTGGCAATTTTTATCATTTAAAAATTCAGTATATTATCGTGATTATTAAATAATATTTCATTATAAAATACTCGAATATAAAATAATATTGCACAATAAACAATCGAATACGTAAATAATAAAAATTGCCACGGAAATTAGGTAGTGAACACTAGTAGTAGATTTTCTGACAGTAATCTGAACGGCAACAGTGCTTATGCATCCCTTGCACATACATGAAGTAATTGTTTTAAATATAGAATATAACAACTGACTTCAGCTATACATAAATTAACCTTTGCCCTCATCGGGTATAGTTATAGATACTGTGTTTGGTCTAGTCTGTATATTATCTGAGATCTTGTGAGCGGTTGCAGGGAAAGGCGCACTGCGACTTATTTCGTCTGTAGTAGTGAGTTTGCATTCGACGACTCTGTAGTTGCAGTTTGGCGAGCCGCAGTCGAAATCCGGACGAGTTATGATTGCATTCGGGATATTGTCGTTCTGATTCCTTGATTCCTCTTTGAAAGGAGGACAACTGTAACAATAGACAGACAAATTTGTAAAAACGAGTAAGTTATAATAATAATAAGGCGAGTATACGTATTCTAATTAGTTAGTTAGTACCTATTGAATGCAGCGGTTTTCCTGTAAAATTTCAAAGGAAAGTTTGTTTGTTTCTAACGTGAAAATTTTTAGAAATCGTGTTTTCACTCCGTATACTACTTAGTGTATATCCCCAATTTAACTATATATTTTTTCCAAGGTGATTGATTCAACAATTTCACTGTTATGCAGAATCAATCCATCTTAAGGTTCATTTCATTTAAATCATTTCAGCCTGTTTGCACCTTCTGCTGAGCATAGGCCTCATCTCTATTGCGCCATTCTTTCCGGTTCCTTGCGAGTCGTGTTCAGTGTTTTCCAACTATGGCCTTAATGTCATCAATTCATAGGGCGGGTGGTCTGCCTCTTGGTCTTTTTGCATCTCTTGGGCACCATTCAGCAACGGCTTTCGTCCATCGTCCATCGTTCCTTCTAGCCAAGTGCCCCACGTCTACTACCTTTGTGCGACGTCGAATGTCTACATTGGGTATGTGGTCCAGCAGAGAAATTCCGAGCATGGCGCGCTCCATTGCCTTTTGTATTAGTCGAATCGTGTGCTTCTTTCGTGAGCGGTCATGTTTTGGAAGTGCCTATAAGTAAGTATAGGTAGGACACATTGGTTGAACACCTTGGTCTTCAGGCATTGACGGATCTTAGACTTGAACATATCTTCCAACCTATGGAAGGCAGCTCATCCTAATTGAGTTCGTCTCGTGATTTCGTTAAGCTGAGAAGCGGGGCCGAAGGTTAGACAATGACCGAGATAGATGTAGTCGTTCACTACCTCTATAGGCCAGTTGCCTATATTTATATTATGTGTAGGACCCGTAAAGTTGGTGATAACTTTGGTTTTGGTCATGTTCATCCTTAGGCCCACCCTCATCGATGCTTGGTGCAGATCTTGAAGCATGCTTTGCAACTGTTCGGTTAATGTTAAGGTAGTAACCTCCCTCCCCTCCCTCCCTTAACCCTAACTAAACCTCTAAAGGTTACTTAATAAAGAAACACTAGTATAATATAATAATCAGTGTTATTTACCTCAAAGGTGGTGGGGTTGGTGAACGTGACAGTGGAAAACTGGCGACTTCTCTCGATATAGCCAGCGACTTGATGGACCCAAATGTTTGTTCCGGACTTAGAGGTGCTCCTAACACTGAAGCCATTCCCCTGCAACACAGATAAATATCATTTTACTAAAACCGTGACGTAATTTTACTTATCGAACAATAAAATCTATCTATAAAGGCACCATTGTATAAAACTATTTATCTAGAAAGCTGACGTGGGATTTTAAAGTAATGGCCCATTTGCACGGGGCCCATTGACGAGTCATACCACAAAGCCAGTCTTGTGAAAAGTGCGAAATTTTCAACACTACAGTCAGTATTACAATAAGTTTGTTTAAGATTCTTTTTTTAAATTTATTAAACGGCAATGCAAACTAGTGGAGTGGCCCAGAATGCACGCTCATACAAGGCCCATTAAGCCAATTCACGTGTGGTAGGGGAAGGTATTGGCCCGAAAAATTAGAAATCGTTCTAATTTTGTGGATTGTCTTCATCACTGGTCTGGAGACACTCCATAATGGACGGTTTCTATTTACACGACGCCAATTATGGCATGGCTTAATGGAATGGCTCGTCGATTGGCCCCGTGTAAACGATACTTAATTCTAGTGGCGCCATATAAAAAATATGCAGTGGTAACTAACTTTTCACCTGGGTAAATTTATTTTGTAAGCTACAAAGAAGAGCTTGTTCTAACTAATGCGGATATTGTAGATTTTTCATAATCATAATCTTATCATTTATTGCTTTATGTGGTACAAAGCTATTACTACACTCCAACATAAACCAGTGCACTGCAATTAACTTGCTTCACTGTGCTAATATTAATATTAATAGGTACACATAGATTCATGTCAACTTAACTTACTGTAGTATACACATACTATCATGTACTTTTACCATCGAATTACTCCTTTAAGTCATAGAAACAGTTCGAGATATAACTTTTCAAAATAACTTTTCAAAGCATTTGCGAATACGTAATTATTTTCAATGTTTCTATTCTAAGAGGTATTTGATAGATTCTTATTGCCATGTTGTGCATACCCGAGCGAACAATTTCTAAATTTGTAAAAGAACCAATCAATTTGTTTCGCGGTCTCAAACTAGCTACATAAGGATTATCACTTCCTTGTCCAAATAAATGCCTGTATTTTCTAACAAACTTACTAATTTTAAATACATATATATATATTGATGTCAAAGTCAAAACGTTGAAACTAGAAAAATGTGGTCTACAAGTATCTGTTTCCGTTATGTTTGTCAATACTCTCATGCATTTCTTCTGCAGAATAAAGAGGCTGCTGGCATGAGCACTATTACCCCATAAAATGACGCCATAAGTTAGCCAACGCATAGGCGTAATATGCAGACAAAGCGGTTTTTAAATTTGTACATTTTTTTATAATACTAAGTGGCGGGACAAACAAATCGTGCTTTTGGTGATAAGCGATATGTTATAACAGTTGCAGTGCCACTCAGAGCTTCAAATCACAAAGATCTGAGGGGCACTGTCACTGCGCCCGACACCCTGAGACATAAGTTGGCAAGTCCCATGTGCCTGTGATTTCACCAGAGTCTTTAACCCTTTGAAACCGGAAATGCAGTAGTGTTCACATTATTGCTTGGCGGCAGGAATAGGTAAGGCAGTACTTCCCTGGACGAACTCTTTTATATAATGTATGTAAGGTCATAAGTAAGTCGATATATTTTAACATTGATTCTCGATTTTATTGATCGTGTCCCATTGTTGCTTCAAGAAGTTTATATGTGTCATTCCAATCAAACGTAGCCTTATCCTAAGTAGTTTAACTTTGTTATTTTTTATCGAGTTCTTAGGTTTTCGCGATTGTTACACATAGGAAATGAAACTATTTTTCCGGATTTAAATTGTGTATATTTGTTTTTTGGTGGTGGACCATCTCAGTCAACCGTGACCATGGGACCTGTAAAGGGCCCGAAACGTCGGATTGTTTGAAAACACAAATATACGCGATTTATATCCGGAAAAATAGTTTCATTTCCTTTTTTTTTTTTAATTGAGCGGTAATGTTGTCAACTCTCAAAAGATGCGTAATCATAGTAATTCACACCTACCTCAGCAGTGGTCCCATTTAAATTTGAAGACATTACACCTTTAAGGGTGGCAAACTAGGGGATGACTTTTACGGTAAATTTTTTGACTGTATTTCTTTAATTATACTTACACGACCGAATCAGATGGCACGAGGAAAGGTAAAGGAGGGGGACAGGGTGCGTCAGCGCGGGCTGGTGATGCGGGCTCGGCTGATCGTGGACAGCGCGGAGTCTCGCCTTCTTCCACCATCCCCAACCAACTGCGTAACCAGCGCCATAGTCCCGTGGGACTACCTGTAATATGACGATAAAAAGTTTTGAATAAGTTTTTTTTATAGAGTATATTTTTTATTATTGTTATTGTATCTCTAGACATATGTATCGTATTGGAATTATCATAATATGTATATGGAGTTCTTAGGTTTTCGCGATTGTTACACATAAGAAATGAAACTATTTTTCCGGGTTTAAATCGCGTATATTTGTTTTTTCAAACAAACCAACCTTTCGGGGCTCTTTACAGGTTCCGTGGTGGTAAAGTCATCAATCAGTTATGTCTAATACTAATGCAAACCACCCTATTTTTTCACTATAGTTACAATAGTTATTAATTAAATACCTTATTTTTAATTTTATTGTAACAATATGAATTTTTATTAAGTTAAATTGATTATTAATTAATAATGGAAATTAGAATAAAGTAAAACATATTAATTAGTACTGCAGTCTTATGTCTGTTTCGGATTTTTCGTCAGAGGCAATACTGGCTCCCAAATTGGTGTTACGGAGAAACCATCTTTCTATTTTGTTTGAAAAACAAATATACGCGATTTAAATCCGGAAAAATAGTTTCCTTTCCATAATAAGTATGTTAAAGGGGTGTATTTTTATTAGCTACTTGTCTAGATGTAGTTTTATCGGGAATTCGGGTTCTTTTATATACGCCCCGTACACAGTGTGGAATGATGTTCACCCGCCTGTGCGAGACTGTCATATTGTCTCATTGCGTACTTTCCGTAAGAAGTATTTTACTCGTTGCTGTCTAGGCAAACCTTGGAGGTATTGTAGTGTAGCTGTGTGGATAGTGCTCTGTGTGTAGTACTAATATCTGTTTAGTGATTCGTGCTCATCCACAAAAAAACTCGTAACATCGATAAATCTGTACTCTTATTCGTAAGGCAGATTCCCCTGAGAATAATGAATGATACATTCTAGGGGTTGCTCTTTGTAAATAAACACTTGTATACATTTATCATTTACATTCATTTACAATAAGTATTTCAAATATCGCTTAAATCGAGACAACTAGCGAGAGCTAAATGAAGCGTATACGTCGTGAAGACAATTGTCAAGAACAGCTACTTTATTTTTATTCCTTGCTGTAATGTTATGTCTATCACAATTTTTTTCATAAAAATACCATTCTTTTTAACATGAATTAAATTTTCGTAAATGTAGTGTGACGGTAGCGTAAGAATGTTAATATTTTTCATTTAAAAGCCCTCTGGCGCCCAGATTGTAGAAATTTTACGACATTGTATTTTACATTGCTTATTTGTCAATTCATACAGACGTTTTATTTAAAAAAATTGCATAGGTACGGTAACATTGTACTTACGAGAATATTTTCTTGAATTTTGTGGACTGAGCGGGTAGAAATCACCATGAATAGGGCAATGGAAAGCTAATCTCCGTTGTCGACGTTGAGCTGCTCTCATTAGTATGCAAAGGACGACGCCTGAAATGAAGTTAAGAAGTTGGTAAGTATTTATACATTTCTTTGAACAAAATATTTACGTAGCTCCAACGAATAAACGCTTGAAGCTGTTAAAACAATGGAAGGGAAAGAAGAAAATCCTGTAGAAGACTTAGTAGTAGTAACATGCTACGTAACTCGGTTGTTCCATTTAAACACAGATATTTTTTAGGACAAATTGGACGTAGTTAAGCGAAAAGGATCCAGTACACAAAATTATCAAGAAATGAGTTATATGTACCAAACGGTTTCTAAACTGTAACCTCTTAGATCAGCAAAAAATCCAACATATAAAGATAAACAAATATATCTGGAGTTATATGATATTATAAGTTTTGAAAATAAAAGAAGAGTGAGAAACACTTAACTGCCATATCTCGAAAGTGACTGGATGTGCATTGGATCCTTTTTGTTTAACTACTTACGTCCAATTTAGGTTTAAGTGTTCCTATAAACAAAGTTATCAAAAAATACGACAATGTATTTAAAATGACGAATCTCGACATATTGAATGACTCGCTAGCTATCTTTAAAAATAACATTAAAAAATATTTTATTCAAAATTCTGACTGATCTGTTTTGAAGATTGTCATCATTATTTGTGAATGCATCATGTTGGCTTTCTTAATACAATAAATATTTAAAAAAAACATCTTTCGTCCTTCGGGATAGGCTAAGGCGTCTAAGCCATAGTGCCAGATTTTAGATTTAAATTTTTCTTTAACAATATAATTTATAGGCAAATTGCTAGTTTTTGACAACCACAAAAACACTTTACAACTAAACTACATGTCATTTTTAAGTAGTAAGGTAAGCCCGAGTAGGTATTTTCATCAAGTCGGGATATCCAAGGGTGGAGTTAATAAAATCATAAAATATGGAAATAAAACTTTCTGGGCAAACTAAGACGTCCTGTAATGAAGGCGGCTAGTCTAATATTTTCTTAAGAGCCGTCTATTAGTAGCAGTCGCTGAATGTTAAAAGCAGGACATGAAAAGAAAGCGTGTTCTAACATTTGGCCTTCTTAAGTTCTGCATTCAGTAGTTGTTTGAACAAATTCTTACCAGCAATAGTCATGAGAGCACCCGCGACGATGCAAACGGGGCCAAGTACTCTCGAGTTGCCTGTGAACGCGATCCGAGCCGCGTAATGATCTGGCTCCTCGTTCTCGCCACAACCGCGATATGATGCCGCTGCAACAATATAGAGTTACCGTTTAACAATTACAAGTCACTGGAAATACGTTTTTAATTGCACCTGTCATACGGCTGTAGGTTGGTTTAGTATACCACGAATGTTTTGTTTAAGTCGATTTTGTCTGTTTTCTAAAAATTTATTTGTTTCTTACGTCACTTTGTTTTTGAGGGTGTGACATGCATATTCTTATAAGGCAGTTTTGTGGGAAATTATAGCAAATGTCATGATAAAATTAAGTGCAAGTTTCAAAATGTTTTATTTTTGTTTTTTGTGTTTCATTAACCCTAAGAGTGCAATTTCGACTTTCTCCGCAATCTATGCGTTGATTGTCCATGTCCATTTATTTACAGATCCATTTATAAAAACACCTGTAATAAGTAGATCTCGTTGAATTTCACAATTTTAGGCGGCAATACTAAGACGCCATTATTAATTACCAAAACTAGCCGGAAGTGACGTATACATCTCTTGGTATTTTTCTAGTAAGGTGTAAAATGGGACAAAAAATTGTGGTTTTTGTAGTTACTGTTTTCATACAAATTTATTTTCAGTTTAATAAATATTATTACGTTTTGAGTTCAGTTTCCTTTATTTGTTATATGTTTAATTATACACTTCCGGACAGTTAATTCGAGCCACTACGCATTTTCAATATAAGTGCTTTAAGCTTAAACAATGTTTGATTGATCAAAAACTATTTTGCAATTTTGAAACTAGTATACTAAACGTCTTTTCCATAAGTCCTTGTTGGGAATTTAGATTTGCAAAACCGGGGAGGAAAGTTTTTCTTCGATAATATATTATATTAGGGGTTAAAGTATGAAATTGCCGTTTTATTGCAATAGGTTCTTTGAATTTTCATAGAATCTTCATGGTTTGAGGTTTTCGAATGAAACTTTTTTCAAATGGTTTCTGTGATTTTTTAATTTTTTTTTAATTTGAAACATTTGAATATCGACTTTCAATTGTTTTTGTTATTCAATTTAGACAAGAAAGATGGATACTGCGAAAATTCGAGTGATTTTTGAATACGAGTTCCGACGCGGAACTAACGCGGCAGAAACAGCCCGCAATATCAATGCTGCGTTTGGAGAGGGGTCTACTAATGAACGCACCGTGCGATTTTGGTTTAAACGCTTTCGTGATGGAAATTTCGACTTAAAGAACGAGTCACGAGGAGGACCGCCCACACAGGTGAATAACGATGAATTAAGAGAGATAGTGGAAGCCGATCCTAGTCAAACTACCCAGGAATTAGCGGCATGGTTTAACGTTACCTTACCCACAATATTGACTCACTTGCGTCAAATCAATAAAATAAAAAAATACGAAAAATGGGTGCCTCATGATTTGACTGATCTGCAGAAAGAAACGCGTGTTGAAACTTGTGTTGCCTTGTTGAACCGGTACAGAAATGAAGGAATATTGGATCGAATTGTAACATGTGACGAAAAGTGGATTCTTTATGATAACCGGAAAAGAAAAATGCAATGGTTGACCCCAGGTCAAATGCCACAACAGTGTCCTAAAGCAAAACTTACCAATAAAAAGGTAATGGTAACTGTTTGGTGGTCTCAGCATGGTGTTATTCACTATAGTTTTCTCCGATCTGGTCAAGCAATAACGGCAGATGTCTATTGTGCCGAACTCCGAACCATGTTCACAAAACTAGCAGTAAAACAGCCCCGACTCATGAATCGATCTTCACCATTATTGCTCCACGACAACGCGAGACCTCACACAGCACGAGAAACCATTTTGACCCTTCAGGAACTGCAGTTAGAAACCATTCGTCATCCTCCGTATTCACCAGACCTTGCTCCAACGGACTACCATTTTTTTCGTGATTTGGACAATTATCTACGTGACAAGAAGTTTTCTTCCCAGGAGGCAGTACAAAATGCTTTCACACAGTTTGTGCAGTCTAGATCGTCGGAGTTCTATCGCAAAGGCATTAATAACCTTCCCATTAGATGGCAGCAATGTATAGATAATAATGGCAACTATTTTGATTAAATAAATTTGTTAAAAATTTAAAAAATAAACAATTTAGATTTTCAGTACAAATCGGCAATTTCATACTTTAACCCCTATTATTATATATATAGATAGATAGTATATTATTATTAATCTTCAATAAATAAATAATAATAATGTAAAATAGGATATGTAAGTGTTTTTTTTTATTTTTCAAGTCCTAATAGCTTACCGGTGAGCACGCAACCAACAAGCATGAAGAGGAAACCGAATATCGGTAGCACTATTTGACAGTTGGCGGCAACGACGACTCCGGCGACCGCTAGCCCGCCTTCCACCTTTTCAACGCGCAGGCGTGAGATGGCTGGTGGACATCGCGGCTTGCCGATCGGCGCGCGCACCAACGGCTCGCCTGGCGGTGAAGTCGTCCTGCGTACAAGAAAAAAGAGAAGTTGAACAAACCGTTTATCAATGAACAAGAGCGATACTTTTAATAATTATTTAATTTAAATATAATTAGAACCTGTGCTTTGACCTTACAAATCTAAAACTTAATAGAAAACTAACAGACCTTAGTAAAAATAACGTCGACAGTGCACACTTCCAATTGTACATACGTATTATTTATTAAGAATTAATAATCTGGAGAGTGGGCACTAAATTCTTTTTTCTGTTAGCTAAACTGTCAGTAACGCACCTGTTTTCTGGTTTTAGCACACAATTCCACATTTCATCGACATTTTGTTTGAATATTCTTGTTTATTTGAACATAATATTTCCGTCTATTTTCGTGTAGGGCTAAGCCCTGTTTTTCACGCTTTGGACTTGGGTGGGTGGCAAGTTATATTTGTATTTGCTAATCATTTACAAGCACTTGCACAACCGGTTGGCTCGTGTAGGGACTAATATAATTCGGACAACCTTGAGGTTCATCACGGCGGTTATTTTTGCGCGGAGCCGTCGCCAATTGACTGTTTGTCGATTGACGCTTTCTTTGTCACGGATCTCACACATGTCACACCTTATTACTGTATTAGAGATCACTCACTATGTAGCAATGTCGCTCTGCTGGTAAAACTAACAGTAAGTAGTACGTAGTACCTACATTAATATTTTTTTATTATATTTTATGATACTAGTTACGGGACGAACAAGTCGTGCGTCTGTCCATAATAATTGCAATTGCTCAAAGGGCACTGCCACTGCGCTCGTCACCCTGAGACATAAGTTGAATTCTCATGCGCTTGTAATTTCACCAGTGTCCGTGCCCTGTCCTCGCAAAACTGTTACTTATTGTGATGTAATAGAAATGGTGGTGAAGTCCGGAAACAATTTCTAACTTGATTATCATACCGTTCAAAGCGTTTTTTAAAATAAAAATAGGTCTGCAGTGTGCATTTGACCTCCATGTCATCTGATGGAAAGTGACGATGAGATCGATAATGGAGCATGCACACTTAAATAATGCGTATTCACTCTCGCCTTGAAAAGGCCCAAGTTATAATGTTCAGGGAATAAATATGTAGGCAAGGAATTCCATCCATAGCCGTTCGCCATATAAATGTGGAAGCGTTTTGCTTATACCAAACGCAAATCGTACCATAAAGGACATTGGACTTTACACTGCAGATTTATATATTAAATACTAAGTAATTTACGATAAGACCTATTTAAAGCTAAAAGAGCAAATGTTCTCGATTTTCAATTTGAAGACTCGAGATTGACACTTTTAGTGAATGTTTTGTATTAGAACAACTAACGTTAGTTCTAAAGTCCCCGATAATTTGGTCACAATGACAAATGTAAAGATTCACTGGTGAGTGGAAGTTTTGGTATTTTGGAATCGCACGTGTGTTTGTTTAATGTATGTGGGTTGTTTGGATGCGAAAATGACCTTTTCCCCTACAGTTCATGAAACCTGCGATGGGCTCGACGTAATAAATTATGAAGGTCGGTGGCATTTTGCAAATACACGTTAGGATTACAAAGGTCGGAATAATGTAAGGGTAATTAAGTATCCGTCGGTTATCATCAGAGGCTTTAAATTTTTTACCGATATCGCCTGTATGACCTTTGAAAGAAGCCCAGCATGCTGATTTTGATTTAAATTGGAATCGAATCGATCGGGTAGTCTCGAAATCAGATTGGGTGTCCGAGCGAGAAGATGAACCTGATTCCTACTATCTCTTTCTAATTTGTGAGTTAAATCAACTATTTTTCCGATTTGAAATGTCAAAAGTTTCCGATCGGTCAGTTGTGAATGGCAATTATACGCCTCGACTCGGAAAAGACACAGTTTCCGATCGGGAGAAGCAATCAAAATCAAACTAGGTGTAAAACTAATGGATGGCGGGATGACTTAGACTGTTTTTCAAAGGGCTGGCTAGATGTTGCCCAAGACCGAGAATAATGGGAAAAGAGGGGGGAAGCCTTTACCCAGCAGTGGGATAGAACAGGCTTATAAAAAGATGACTGTATATCCGTCCAGTAAATGGATATCAAAATTTTTGACCAATTTCGATACCGGTAAAAAATAGAAGTGACGAAAAAAAAATTACGATCAGCTCCGGTTCCAGCTACAGAATTCACATAATCTTGAACTAAAAAAAGCGTTTAAAATAACAAACGAAACACAAAACCGCTAATCTGTAATAGTTTAGTTTTATGGGACCATACGATTTGGCCGTAAACTCAACAGAGAGATGTACGAAGACGTGAAAAACGTTTGACTCATTAAAGTCCCTGTAACGAAAGGCAGAAGAACTAAAGTTTTTTTTTATGAACAACGCACGATTCGGTCAGAGGTCGTTCAGAGAACGCTATCGAGCAGTTTAGAACTCTAGCAATTTTTTCTCTGTTATACATGCGATTATGGAAATCAACGACATTTTTTCTTAATTAGCGGAATCTATTGTTATTGTTTCTTCGAAAATATTTTACTTAGAATGTAAAGCTCACAGAATCTTCGCCTACAACCATAAAGTAAATTTTTACGAGAGAGTTAACTTTTCGAAGTTCGATTTAAAACCCATATAAGCTTTTATTGACACTCTACTTGATCGTGTTTAAGATTTTACTCAACATTGGTATATTTTAGTCAAAAGTGGTACTAAAATGCCATTGTAAAAAGTTTTGTCAAAAACAGTGGCGAAGGCACTGTTTGACGCCATTGGCTTGTCTAAGAAATCTATTCGAATGGAAAATGGTTTTAGATATTTATTTTTCAAATGCAAATTCACTTGCAAAAAATATATAAGGTAGGTATTGTAAAACTTATGTAGTGAGTATTGAATATTAAAATTTTTTTTCGGATTCAAAAAACATTTTTTCTTTTTTGTTCTTTTTTAACAAACCAATATTTAAGGTTCTCTATAGGACACATATTCAAAAACCATATAAAATACATAAATAAATATACTCATTTACAACAACGTGTTGACAAATTGTGAAATCTAATGTAGCTAAACAAAATTGCTGTGTTCTGGTATAAGGTCAATGATAATAATGAAAACATGTAGCAGTGAATCAAGTATTGCATATTCATTGTCATGATGACATTTTAATTTTTAATAGCAATTAGGTATACATAGAACTAAAACATCAAAACTGAGAGAAAATTTTCATAATGTGGAATTTAAGTTTGTTTTTGAATAATTGGAATGACTGATAACGTATTGCGTTACAAATAATTTTGTACCAAACTTAATCAATACACGCAAATATATACACATTGGTACACATACATATAATGAAATAAAAAAAAGAGATTATTACAAAGAGAGTTTAGCAAGATAGTGCGGTCGCAATCCGTCTCACACACACACACATCGAACACGTGTCATCTTAGAATGTTTTGTGGTATGATACATCTCAGACAGACAAAGCGTTCCTTAACGAAATGTTCTATGATTATTCTTTATGAATATTTTTTCTCCAGGCCGACACAGATGATGACTAAAGTTAAATTAAACTTTGCCCGACATGCGGTACGTGTCTGAAATGTAGCTGGCACGTAGTGCTGCGTGATTTGGCACGTTTTGTGTCGTCGAATCTCACAGTCTATTTTATATAAAAGACAGATTTATAGTTGTAGCTATTAAATGCGAATTATTGAGGGGATTTTAACATTTTAGTACTTTCAACCTTGGTAGCCTAATGGATTGAGCTATTGCTTCTCCAGCAGAGGCCGTGTGTTCGAATTCGCGAGTGCCTTTAAATCGTTTTCAGTAATTGCAGGATTTTTACTACGCTATAACTTCTTATTATTTGCCTGATATGCCATTTGACAGTTCCATATCTTTCTACAGTAGTTTTCATTGTAGTGACCATCCCTACCGACCCTTAGGATATACGAGAAGGGCACTATAACCTGCGCGCGCACAGGAACCTTATAAGTTCAGGTTCTGACCCCAGATCAGCCAGTGTACATGGTTGTCACAGACCTCTGTCACTTGACTTCATCCGGTTCTCGAGAGGCTAGTGCCTCGGGTGAGCCGTCCCGGGTGCACGTACAGTACCCACCCTACTTTCCAGTTAGATACTGGAGTTGTAGACACGCTCACTTATCGACGCCAAAAAAAGGCGTCTCTCCAGTTTCCAAAAATCTAAGCGGCTGGAGGAACCGGAGGATATCTAGCTTATCCTCTATTAGCACTCCGGGCTAGTGCCGGAGATGTCAGTCGCAGTGTCCTGCGACGATGTCCGGACATAGCTTCCAACTTAAAGGGCAACTCACGTGTCCCGCGCGTCTCCTCGCTTTAGACCCTCAAGTAGACCGCTACTAAGACGCGCTTGCTGCGCGCGACACAGACGCCCCGGCCACATGCAACCGGGGCAGACAAACATGTCCGCTCTGCATCTTACCACAAACCCCAGCGATTCCATACCCAAGTCCAGGTCCGCCAGAGACGCCCGTGAAGCGTATTACTGGCGGAGGGCTTGGCCCGGACGCCCGCTGTACCCTGGTCTTGCCGTCGAGCCCGTAGTCTCTCCGGAAAACCCTATCTCTCGGGTCAGTAGATAATGTCACGGGTTGACAATAGTAACGCCGCAAGAAATCGACACGATTGTGGTCGTCGATAGCGAAAAAGAGTAGATAGATATATGTCTGTCAACTGTCGCTGGCCTTTCACCCGTTGCCATAGGGCGTGTAACTGAAATATCGGGAAAATAATAAGACGTCACAACACGGTAAGAAACCTGTGATTAGTCAAGAACCAAAAAAGTTTTAATTTTTAACGCCTGTGCTTTAACACAGGTTGAAATTCTTATTTATTAGCAACCATAAGAATAAATTTTTAGATTTATGAGAATTCAGAGTTATTTGTGGGGTGCACGAAAGGAGCCTTCACACATGACGTATCATTCGTTTCCTTTCTTATACGGTTGTCACACCCTGGGCAAAAATTCTAAATGATTATGTTAACTAA